TACTAAATATATAGAAATCAATAAATGGAATTGATGTAGTAATGTTATCTTTTAGACATCCAATAGAAAAACTGAAACAAATAAAAAAGCTACAAACGCTATATGTTCTCAGAACATGTATTAGTATTAGTATGGAAAATGTATTTCTGTGCATTATTTTTCATAGGGTACCTACGTGCCTAAGCCTTGGATAATTAACAACCTTAGTATACTACCCCTCTCTGAGATGGAATTGGGCGCGTCGAAAGCGCATTTCAAGGAATTAGGAATTATTCAAGTTACATTTGGGGGGTTATTGTTACCAAGAATTCCCAGCGAAAACCTTATTAATATTTTACTAATTGCTATTACATATTATCATTCCGGAGGTCAAATCACATGGTTTAAGATGCATTTTTTTCACTTCATCTATTACGAAAGTTGAGATTCTCTACACTTAATTCCGAATAGTCATTACGGATAAAGATTTTACTCATCCTATTTTTCCATCACTGATAGCATTAAAAAAGTAGATTCTTGGGGTTCTTTCTTTTCTTTTAAGGCGAGCATTGGTCTCTAAAATTTTTATTGGCATCATCCATTTGAGCTGTGTGTGCATTGAGAGATTTATCATAGTAATGCTTGAAGAGTAAGGATAGGAACTTTCCAAAGAAAAATAACATCTTGTGACTTTTTGATTTGTAATTTCATTACGAATTTCAACATTAGTAATTTTATTAAACATATCAAACAAATTCTCGAAGTTACCAACTGCAACTTCTCTAATTATAAAACTTGAACATATCAGATAAGTTTTTTCAACATATTTCTTCCTTTTTTTACTGGAAGATTTATCTGCAGGAGTAAGTTTATTAGAGGTTGGAATCGACTAAAATAGTTGACTAATACTAATTATTATTATTGTCTGGCCAATTTATAAATGAAAACGTTTTTTGTGGCACAAAAAAATTTTAATAATAAAAATAAATATGCGGAGTATCAATATTATGAAGAAGATGATAATGGTGGTGTTGGTGCTG